CAGGAGGGTAGCAGCACCTACTGGCGCACGGATTCGTGTGCAGGGCTACTAGTAAAGATATATCATGTAAGTATACATAAAATTCACCCTTTTAAAATATACAATCCAGAGGTTTTTATATTCACAAAGCTCTACAACCATCACCTCTAATTTTAGAAACCCCATGCCCATTAGTAGTCACTCCCCACTGACACCTCCCTCCAACCTCTTACAACCACTAATCTACTTTCCAGTCTCTATAAATTGCTTATTCTGGATATTCTGTGCTGGCTTCTTCCACTTAGCACAATATTTTCAAGGTTCATCAATGTTGTAGCATGAATCAGTACTTTATTCTTTTTAATGGCTGAATAATATTCCATCATTGTATGAATATACCACAGGTTTATCCATTTATAAGTTGATGAGCACTTGGGTTGTTCCCATTTTTTGGCTATTATGAATAATGCTGCTATAAGCATTTATGTCCAAATTTCTGTGTGACATATGCTTTCAATTCTCTTGAGTATATATATAAAACTAGGAGTAAAACTACTGGGGCATTCTTCTACTTTTGAAACATCCTTAAAGAAAAACTTAACATTTATATGAAAATTTAATAAACATTTGATTTACAATAAAATCTGCATAAAATGATACCTGTAGCTTTAAAAAAACTATTTTATGTTTAATGTCAGTGAAACATATGAGTAATTCATTCACCCTTTTGCCTCTCAGTCTGAGGTCAATCAACTCAAATCTTATATTATTTACCTTGTCCTTTTTCAAGAAAAATGATTTTCGATTCTGGAAGAAAATTAGATCCAGTCACAATCATTTCATGACCTCCATTTACAGAACAACTGTTGATACTGTACTTCTCAATATGAGGAAGTTCTTGAGCAGACCGCTGGGCTGTTTTAAGAGTTGAGAAGAGCAAAATATTAGTTTACAATTTTTCATACATAAATGTCAAATTCAAGCTAAAAATGAAAATAAAGAGAAGTAAGCCCTGGGCTCTTATAATTTAAGACAGTGGTAGCAATATCCACCAAAAAAAACTACATTAGTTAGAAAACAAAATAGATTCATTAGGTTGTGATTTCTAAACTATTTTCTAAAACTCCAACTATAAAGAAACCAACTCATAAAGAGAAATTAATGCCTGCAACTTCATATGACTTCAATACATTCATCTCATCCAACTTTTCTCTTTTTAGCTTAAGTTTTTAATACATTTCTTCCCTATAACTATTAAAATAGATAAATCTAATATAATTATAAAAGACAAATTAAATCCAAAGATGTGTATTTATGTTGCACAATTAAAAAAAGACATGTTTCACCCTCACCAGTTTAGCTCAGTGGATAGAGCATTGGCCTGCAGACTGAAAGGTCTCGGGTTCGATTCTGGTCAAGGGCACCTGCCCGGGTTGAAGGAGGCAGCCGATCAATGATTCTCTCTCATCATTTGTTTCTATCTCTCTTTCTCCCTCTCCCTTCCTTTCTGAAATCAATAAAAATATATTAAAAAGAAAAAAGAGGACATGTTTCTAAAAGACAAACAACAAGTAGCCCTTTCATCAAGAAAATATCTAGATCATCATTGAGACATCATGAATTCCAATTTGGACAATCTTCTCAATAACTAAATAACTGAAGCATACATGAAGTATACATTATAATAGTAAATTTTAAAAAATGGATGTAAATGTTTCTATAATGCAGTAACACTTTCCATTCTCAGGGAAAATGAACAAGTTTTTCATAATGCCTTAGAATTATTTATTTATTTATCTTTATTGTTGAAAGTATTATGTATGTCTCTTTTTCCCCCCATTGACCCTCTACAGCCCCCCCCCCCACCCTCACCACCCCAATGTCTGTGTCCATGGGTTATGCATATATGAATACAAGATCTTTGGTTGATTACCTCCCACCCATCTACCCTCCTCCCACTTCCCTCCAAGACTCTGTTCCATGCTTCCATGTTTCTGGATCCACTCTGTTCATCAGTTTATTTTGTTAATTAGATTCCCTATGAGTGAGATCATGTGATAAAATCATTATTTAAATTAACAACTTTATTTATAAACAATGACCTTGGTGCCAACTTTCTCTGATACTGATTAATTCCAAGTAGCTATATTTTCTGAAGGTCCTATTTTTGGCTTTTCCCTCCTTCCCTCCCTTCCTTCCTTTGCTTCAAGCTATAGATTATACATCTTTTGATTGCTTAGGTTCTCTAAAGATTTCTTCTTGCCAAATGCCTACATAACTTTGGTTTCTTTCTGGATTAAAGCAAACAACAACAAAAGTGGATTACACTCTCTTCTTCACACTTGGAAAACAGATCTACTTTTAGTCCTACTACTTGTGTGTAAAAACTGGTGGCTTTGAGGGTCAACTGTGTTTTGTTTAACTAGAGTAACATTTTAAAGAAATTTAAACTTGAAATCCTTTAGGAAGCAGGCATTCCCAGTTCACTCTGGCTTACATCTCCTAATACCAAGCCACAAAAGGTTATGCAAATTGGGATCCCTGCTCCATTCAAACGAATGTTAAAATACATTCTTTCATAGGGGATGGGTCTGGGATTTAGGATTAACTACCACTTGGGAAGGACCAAGCATCAACCTAGATCTCAGAAAATACTTACGTCCCTACTTAATTCCAAACAGCTCACAGAGAAGAGGCATGAAAACAAGCACTGACTGGCCGAGGGACTGGACTAATTAAAATTTTGGACATTTATGGTAGAAATTGGCCATCATAGGTAGTACATTCAAAGTGTTAACGATGAAAGTGAGGTATCTCTTTCCCCACTGAGTGTCTGGGTGAGGTCCTTATGATATCTCAAGAAAAAGAATTTTCTGAGACTTGCACAGAAGGATGAGTGATTTTATTTGTGTGAAATTATATCCTTGGGTTTTCAAAGCCCCATTTCCCGCCCTAGCCGGTTTGTCTCAGTGGATAGAGCGTCGGCCTCCCAGGTTCCATTCCAGTCAAGGGCACATCCCTTGGTTGCAGGCTCCTTCCCAGCCCCGGCCCTGGTTGGGGCATGTGCAGGAGGCAACCAATCACATCGATCTATGTTTCTCTCTGCCTTTCCCTCTGTCTTCCACTCTCCCTAAAAAAAAAAAATCAATGGAAAAATATCCTCAGGCAAGGATTAACTAACTAACTAACTAACTAAATAAATAAATAAATAAAATTTGTCATTGCGTTGGGAATCTAGTTATTAGAAGGGAGTTAAAAAAAGAAAAAGAAAAAACAAATACAAAAAACCCCCACAAAGTCCCATTTCCCTCAATCCAGTCCTAGATGATGTGCAGTTGGGGATTTGGTAGAGCTAAAAGCAAAGCCTGTGTCCAAAGTTTCCTTTCCATGTTGGAATTGGGTCGGGCACAGCGCCAGGCTAGTTGCAATCCACTGTGTGGGGTTCACATGGCCGTGAGCTTTGAGGGCAAATTCAGGGGAGCCAAGAGTGCGTGCCCCCAGTAACAACGTTCCCAGGAGTCCCAAAAACGCAAGAGCAAGAGCTCAAACTCCTTTGTTTAGGGAGTTAAATATCTTAAATCTTCCCTTGCTTGCAGTGGCCAATGACCAGTTCCCAGGTGTGACTGATGGGCAAGTACCTTTCTTATTTCACCCAGATTTTATTGGGCAGGCCTCTATTCTTCCCCTGTCCTGTTCCTCCTCCAATGATCTGCAGGGAACAGACTGGTGGCACCCTGGAGAGTGTTAACATGCAACTTCCTAGCAAAACTGCATAAATGATATATTTGGCCTTCCTTTTGCTCCTTTCCAGTTATTCATAACTAGGTTAAATTACAATGCTATCAAAAGTAACAAAAATTTTTATCGTCATAATAAAAAATTCTACACGTGTTAAAAATTGTATTTTTGAACAATATTTAGCAATATGAGAAAATGCCCATTATAAGTGAAAATATCAAAACAAGTTATAAAACTGTATCAGGTAAGCCCAACTAAAAATATTGTATATAGTCCTGGCCTGCAGAATGAGGGTCCTGGGTTTGATTCTGGTCAGGGGCACATGCCTGGGTTGCTGGCTCTATCCCCAGTGTGAAATGTACAGGTGGCAGCCGATCAGTGATTCTCTCTCATCATTGATATTTCTGACTCTCGCCCTCTCCCTTCCTCTCTGAAATCAATAAAAGTATATTTAAATAAATAAGTAAATAAAAATATTGTATATATGTACAAGGTATAAACAAAAAAAGAAAACCCTCAAAATAGTCAATAGTGACTATCTTGGGCAAGTGATATCACAAAAGATTTTAACACTACTCTTTGTATTATTCTACATTTTCTATATTCTCAACAATAATCATATATTAATTTAATAAACTAGAATAAAAATAGAAAATATTTTCAGAGGAACTTGCATCTCGAAAACTTAAACTACCCTATGAACTTATTTAAATTGTTTTACTAAATATATGTGCTTATATGGGCACAAGAATACTATGGCAGGATAATAAAAAAGCTGGCAATGATAGTTGCTTTTATGAAGAACTAGTTGACTTAGAAATTTGCTTTTTACTCTATATTCTTTTATTCTTTCTGAATGTTATCCCATGTACTTGTATTATCTATTAAAAATTAATACAATAATTACTTTTACAGTGATTGCTATTACCATGGATTTATTCAGTGATTCCCACAGTCAATAGGGAAATGATAAAGTATGACTCCAATTCAGCAAACAGCAAATGGAGGTACAAAAAGGTAATTAAGTAGATGTAATCCCAAATTAAGATGTGGTTAACAGAAATAAAATGGTATAACTGAAAGAGTATTAAGAAAACTTGTGCTCTAGGCACAGCTCTGTCACCTATAAACAAATAACCTTGGATGAGTACTTGAGATACTTGTGCTTGTCTCCTCCTACACAAAAGTAAGACATGAAATTAAAACACATCTAAGACTATGCCAGAAAGGTCTAAACAGCAGTCTCAATATTTCAGTGCTACTAGCTAACCTGCCAGAGGTCCCCAGTTCTTTGCGGCTTGGGTAGATACCATGTTCTAGGGCCTTATTTCATATCTTGTCTTTATAAATCAGGGGGAAAAGCATTTACTTTCTCAATTTGATACTGTAATTAAATTTATGGTAAAAAAAAATACCCACAAGAAACAAAATCCTGTGAGTTCTTATTTAGCTGAGGTGTCAGCTCACAGAGACAGGCATCTTCCAACATAAAGGCTGACATTTTAATTAAACAAAGATGGCCAAGTAATACTTAGTATCAGAATCATAGCTTCATGATTTGTCCTCAGATGTCATCAAGCCCAACTGCCTCATTTATAGATAAGAAAACTGTGGTCAAGCCATGGCTGGGTAGGTCAGTTGATTAGAGCATCGTCCAGACACTCCAAGGTTGTGGGTTTGATCCCCAGTCAGGGCATATAAGAAAATCAACCAATAAATGCATAAATAAGTAGAACAACAAATCGATCTCTCTCTCCTACTCCCTTCCTCTTTCTCTAAAAATCAATCAATAAAAAAAAATTTTAAAACAGGAAACTGTAGTCAAGAGAATTTATCTATGGTCACACAGCTACCTAAGGTCAAATTATAACAAGAAATCATTTTCTAACTTCAAGATCATTACTCCTCCCCTAACCATGTAGCTTATTTTCATAAGAAGATCACATCAGCTATCCAGACTCTGTGCCTCAGTTTACACTTTTTATCCAAACATCACATTATAAGCAAAACAGAAAATGACCTATTGTAAACAAAATTTTAAAACATCATCACAAAGCTCACTTACAGCACTCAACAGGTATAGAAGCTGTCTGCAGAGAAAGGACTTTTCCATTGGGCTGTGGGATGTGTACACGAAACACAAGTCGTACTCTAGTATTCTTTCTGCCAATATCAGTTTCTCCTTTTCGAAGTTCTATATCTGAATTTCGGAGTTTCAAAATACCTGCACAGTCAATACTAGGGAGAAAAAATAGAAAAATTTTACTTGCTGACTGATAATTAGTGGTTCTAAACAACTCAACTAAATAGCCATTATTAATTTGGCAGGGAATAACTATCACTACCTAAAATAAAAAATGTTTGAAAAAGGTAAAGGGATTAAGCAAAAAACAAAACAAAACACCCTCATAGACACAGACAATAGAAGGATGATTACCAGAGGGAAAAGTGGGTTAGAAGAGGTAGAAGAGGGTAAAGGAGAGATAAATGGAAATTTTTAAAAAATGTTTTTGGCCCTGATCGGTTTGGCTCAGTGGATAGAGTGTTGGCCTGCGGACTGAAGGGTCCCGGGTTCGATTTCAGTCAAGGGCATGTACCTTGGTTTTGGGCACATCCCCAGTAGGGGGTGTGCAGGAGGCAGCTGATCGATGTTTCTAACTCTCTATCCGTCTCCCTTCCTCTCTGTAAAAAATCAATAAAATATATCTTTAAGCCAAACCGGTTTGGCTCAGTGGATAGAGCGTCAGCCTGCGGACTCAAGGGTCCCAGGTTCGATTCCGGTCAAGGGCATGTACCTTGGTTGCGGGCACATCCCCAGTGGGGAGTGTGCAGGAGGCAGCTGATTGATCTCTCTCATCGATGTTTCTAACTCTCTATCCCTCTCCCTTCTTCTCTGTAAAAAATCAATAAAATATATTTTTAAAAAAAAAATAATAAATAAATAAATAATGTTTTTGTATGACAAAATGTAATAGTAAGTGTAATAGATTGTCTGTAAATATGGCTGTCAATAATTCCTTCCCATTCCTGTACTTGCATGCCCTCCTCCTAGAGTTCCTATGTCTCCTGTCCTTGAGAGCTGGCCTTACAGAATGTGGCCAAGTGATGCCGAGTAAGTTATAAGCCTAGCACTTAAGAAGCCTCATAACTTCCTCTTGGAGCCCTAAGCCACCATGATGAAGTCCAGATAGCAGGACAGAATGGTTGAGATAATCTTTATTCCAGTCATCTTGGATGTTCCAAACCCAGCTGAGTTACCAGCTGGATTCAGGTGCATGAGTGATCCTAGCCAACACCATATGAATGAACTGGCTGAGTGTAGACAACCCAAAGAATGATGAAAAAAAATAGTTATTATGCCCTGGCTGGTGTGCTTAGTGGTTAGAGCAGCGGTTCTCAACCTGTGGGTCGCAACCCCTTTGGCGGTCGAACGACCCTTTCACAGGGGTCACTTAAGACCATCCTGCATATCAGATATTTACATTACGATTCATAACAGTAGCAACATTACAGTTATGAAGTAGCAATGAAAATAATCTTATGGTTGGGTCACAACACGAGGAACTATATTTAAAGGGCCAGAAGGTTGAGAATGGTTAGAGTGTTGGCCTATGCAGGTTCAATTCCCGCCCCCAGTCAGGGCGCATACGGGAGGCAACCAGTAGATATATCTCCCTCCCCCCACCCACATATCCTCATGTGAGGAAGGAAGGAAGGAAGGAAGGAAGGAAGGAAGGAAGGAAGGAAGGAAGGAAGGAAGGAAGGAAGGAAGGAGAGAGAGAGAGAGAGAGAGAGAGAGAGAGAGAGAGAGAAAGAGAGAGAAAGAGAGAAAGAAAGAGAGAAAGAGAGAAAGAGAGAAAGAGAGAAAGTAAGTTACTACTTAAAGCCATTAAATTTGGGGGGTGGTTTGTTTTTCAGAACTAGGTAAGTGAAACACAAAGTAAAAAGACTTTTTACTCCTATATATGTAATTATACCAGAAAAGATTCACTTGTCAGACAACAAATCTCATTAACAGCATAGATTTTTATAGTGATTCAGAGGCACAGTGCACAGATTTGTGCACACTGAAAGGAAATTAATTAGAAGAAATATTTTAATATCACTATTCGTCCTTTCTCTGTAATAGAAATGTCAACCAATTCACAATCGACAATGCCAGATCGAAACACACGTGTGCGATTGGCACCAGCAAGAGCTTTCTATGTATCGTGCATGCGCAAGTCAACTTAGTCTTTTATATATGTAGAATAAACTTGCCTAATTAGACCTGCTTTCTGATGTAGCTGAACTTTTTCCAGCCCAGTGAAGCACCCCAACTTCTCTTTCAGGTAATTGTCAGCAACACAGCAGTAAATATCAACAGGAAGCAGATTATTGTAGATCAGGCAAGGAGAACAAAGGGTAAAATATTTTTAACTGCAGCAGTGTTTGATTATATTCTGCACAGTGAGAAAACCTGAAGTCATTTTCAAGGTCCACCATTTCTTTCTTCTTTTCAGTTGGGTCAAGTTTCTAAGCTTTCTAAATCTCCATTTTCCGGCTAATGAAAAGAAAATAGGATTCCACCAAGTCTCCTTTCTACCTACTCCAGGATTTCTGTGAGGATCAAATGAGATGAGGCATGGGAAAACCCATCACAGACATTTGGTTAAAGTGTAAAATGTTTCCACCTGGCCTATAAAGCAAGTTGTGCTCCTGGGCTGAAGAAACTCCAAGGAGGCTAGTCGTCCCTAGGGAGAGAAAGCTGGGCGTTGCTACATGACGTAATTACCCAGTGTCCACAGCGACAGTTTCTGGGCTGGGCGGGGCTGTGGACTGCATTTTGCGCCATGGGGTCTCGGTAGCATCAGCTGCGATTTGGTGGGCAGGGGCCTGTGTCCCATTTGGGGGAAGCCGAGTGTTGCCTAGTGGGCGCCAGGGCCATGGTGCTGTTTCTCTGTAAATGGCCAGTGTATGTCACAGCAGCTCCTGCGTTGAGAGTCTGCCCCCTGGTGGTCAGTGCGTGTTATAGCAAACGGTTGGACAGTCAGACACTTAGCATATTAGCCTTTTATATATATAGACACTTATTAATAAGACAATCCATCAGGCTAAGATTCTTGCATTTTTAACTATATTACATATTTCTAAAGTTTCTAAATTTTAAGTGTCTGTCATTTCTAAACTATATTACATATTTCTAAAGAATGCATACACAAAATTAGTTTTGGCATTTAAGATCTAACATTCATTACCTTCAAAATTTATCTATTATTTTTAAAAAATATATTTTATTGATTTTTTTCAGAGAGGAATGGAGAGGGATAGAGAGCCAGAAACATCAATGAGAGAGAAACATCGATCAGCTGCCTCCTGCACACTCCATACTGGGTATGTGCCCACAACCAAGGTACATGCCCTTGACCGGATTCGAACCTGGGACCCTTGAGTCCACAGGTCAACACTCTATCCACTGAGCGAAACCGGTTAGGGCCAAAATTTATTACTAAGTATGGTGTGCTTAACACGTAACTATGGTAGGAACTATGTAACAGTACCTACAACATATCTTTGTTACTCACATATTGGAAGAATTTAGCAAACGGATAACTAATGGTCAACATTCTAGTTCACGTTTACTCTCTCTTATGGCATTTACTGTTATTGATCCTCTTACTGTATCTACCAAAAGTTCCAATTCTAATGTGCACTGCCAAAAGGCCACAGAGGTTGCTTTGAAGGACAATGTGTATTACAGAACTAGGTTATCAAGATAAGAACCAGTAAAACACAAGAAAGAATCCCAAAAAGGATGAATATTTTCATCTTCAGAAAAAAAAAAAATTTCTAAAAAAGAAAATACTTTTGAAAATAAATATTTAATTAATGTCAAACAACTGCACTTTAGTTCAAAGCAGTATTGATCAAATTGTGTCAAGTAGTGATTATTAATGTTAACATGCCAAAATGAGTCTTTAGGGGAAAACACCAGAGAGTATACATTTTATTAAGTTTTGAAGGAAGGTATTTTAGTAGAAAGCTAAGCTTCTAATAGAAAATGTGGAATAAGAGAATCAGAAAGGACAATCTTAAAACTCTGGCCAAGAAATGCCAGACAAGAGAAAAAAACCAACCAACAAAAAACTACATATATCAGAATGAAAATAACTATAACTACTAAAGTCTGTTTACAACTAAAACTATATTTTAGATCAGAATGTAACTCTGCCACATCCATATTCATTTAGTTTTAAAAACAGGAAGGAGTTATGAGTAGGGTAAGGCAATGAGTACTGACATGCTATAATTAAAGTATCTTATAGGGTGGTGGCTCTATGATTTATCAGTTAGTGAACTGGTTTTAAATAAAGGGTCTTACACATCCAAGAGAGATTAGAATTGAAATGACAAAGCCTGAGGGATAGTAGGCAAAACAAGGGGAATATCTACCAATCTTTTCCCATTTGTTGTTCAGAGAACAGTAGAGACATTTAACACATACTTATAATTCACTTATGCATCAATTATTTTGAACAATGAATGGTCTTATCTATCACTCACAAAATTTTACCTCCCACTATGTGAAACTATATTACATTCAATTACTATAGCTTATCATAGTAATTAGTTCTTGGGTAAAACAAGCTCATTTAGCATTTTAGCTACCTTATCTAAGTACATGGAAAAGGTTTCTTAGGTTTGGTAACTTCCTTGATGCTCTTCACTCAACCCTTTCGTGGACACATACAAAGTTGCTAGAAGCCTTGGTTTCCATAGAATTCTTGTTTCCCGATCTAACAGTCCAGAGTGCATAAAATGGCCAGAGAAGTTTCAGGTATGCATCTGGCAAAACAGGGTGAGGGGGCTAGTTGCTCGTTACTATTAATTGTATTTCTGCAACTTTGTCCTTTATAGTGTGATCCAGGCAGGCAGTATATGCCAGCTCTGTTGGAAAAGGGACATGAAATCATGACCACCAGCTCTGTTACATGTGCTAGTAGATAGAAAGAGGAAGAGGCAGATATGTTCAGACCCTAGTTTTCTGATCCCCCCCCCCCCGACACACACACACACACACACACACACACACTATTAATTGTGTGAGGCTTTCCTAATTTTGTGAGAATTTGTGTTTTCTTTAATATATTTATTTATACTCTATTGTTTAGAAAGAATATGGCATTTTACAACATAAATACAAATAAGATAAAAAAGAAAAGAAACAGCCAGGCCGGTGTGGTTCAGTGGTTGACCATTGACCTATGAACCAGGAGGTCACTCAATTCCTGGTCAGGGCACATGCATGGGTTGCTGGCTCAATCCCCAGTAGGGGGTGTGCAGGGGGCAGCCAATCAATGTTTCTCTCATCATTGATGTTTCTATCTCTCTCTCCATCTCCTTTCCTCTCTCTCTAAAATCAATAAAAACATATTAAAAAAAGAAAAAAAACATACTAAAAATGCAGGGAAGGAAAAACAGGAGCTTGGAAACCCAATGACTTATGAAGCCACTGTGCTAGCCCCTAAAATGCCTATGTGTATATTTCTATTAGGGGAAACAAAACAAAACCTGTTTTAGCCACTGATTTTGGGTTTTCATAACAGGCAGCTATATATAATCCTAAGTAATACACTTGAACAAAACTCTATTGCCTACTCATTTGGAAGCTGGCCACCTAAAGGTAGTCAAAATTTTTCTTAAAAGAAACAACGATCATAATTGTACCACAATTGTTTATTCATTGTTTACCCTATTAGTCTATGACCTACTTGAAAAAAGTCAAAATATTTTTATCTCTACCACCTTGTATACTGCTTGGCAGGTACTACGATGGGTTCATAAGTTTCTACTGAATTGAAGTTTCTTTCTGGAAATATGCTACCAACCTTAGCAAATGTACTATGATTATTTATATGTTATTCAGTTAATTTAGAACAACAAATATTTCATTTTTGTACTATAAAAAAGAAAAAAGGTATGTTTTTTTCAAAAGTTGTTTGAGGAAAAGAAAAAGCTATCCATTTGGGGGTGCTTCAAAATACCTGGCTGACATATTGTTTTCAGGAAGAAGTGGAATTTCCAGAACCTTTGTGCTGGCAATTATTATCTCCTGGCTTGCAGTAGCAACTGTCTTCCCAGTGATTCGATGCACCTGGTAAAATGCATGAGGTCGTAAATATCGATCATCTGCTGTTCCAATAAACATCTGTAGATTTATCGGCTTTTCACTATAGCCCAGCAGCTAATCAGGAAGAAAAAAACACAGAAAAAAACACCCAATTTATTATCCATGCATTTTACAAGAAGCTTACACCAGTAAATCTTTATATCTTTATCATATATATATATGTATATAATTTTGGTATCATATATTATTGATATATGAAATATTTTTTTAAAAGACAACATTTTCAAAAGTAGTAAGTGGGTGTGATCTCCCTCCCAGGAGCAGGCCCACACCTTTCTTCCCTCTCAGGCCAGCCTCTCTTAAACTCTAAGGGTCCCCATGAGACTTGCAACCAGGGGAGCAATGAGGAGGTCCGAGGCTGACCCCCTGAACCTGTCTCCAAGGCCCTCTTTTCTTTGACTTTCCAGTGAGCCAAAGCACCTCCACCTAGCTCATTTCTTTCCTATAACATCTGTACTGAGCCAAAGCAGCCCCACCGAGGCTCTCCTGTTGCTTCTTCTATCCTAAGCCCTTCCTTGTTTCATTGTCCCCAGCTTTAATAAATGTACTTCTCTAAATGAAAAATAAATTAAATAAAAAAGTAGTAAGTGAACAACCTTCAAAATTTTGGTAACTTAAAGTAGTTTAAGAATTATAAAATTCTGGAATATATTACAAAGGTATCATAGTGTGTTTTTTAAAATTTTGTTTGTTAGTTTATTTTGTCCATTAGATTCCTCAGATGAGTAAAATCATATGGTGTTTGTCTTTCTCTGACGGCTTATTTCACGTAGCATAATGCTCTCCAGGTCCATTCATGCTGTCACAAAAGGTAAGATTTCCTTCTTTGTTTATAGCCGAGTAGTATTCCATTATGTAAATGTACCACAGCTTTTTTATCCACTTGTCTACTGATGGACACCTGGGCTATTTTCAAATCTTGGCTATCTTTCTATATAATAAAAGGCTAATATGCAAATTGACCGAAAGGCAGAATGACTGGTCGCTATGATGCGCACTGACCACAAGGGGGCAGACGCTCAACGCAGGAGCTGCCCCCTGGTGGTCAGTGTGCTCCCACAGGGGGGGCGCTGCTCAGCCAGAAGCCAGGCTCATGGCTGGTGAGCGCAGCTGCCATGGCGGGAGTCTCTCCCACCTCTGTGGCAGCACTACGGATGTCTAACGGGGAGTGGGCCTAAGCCATCAGTTGGACATCCCCCAAGGGCTCCTGGACTGCGAGAGGGCACAGGCTGGGCTGAGGGACCCCCCCCCCGAGTGCACGAATTTCATGCACTGGGTCTCTAGTATGTATGTGTGTGTGTGTGTGTGTGTGTGTGTGTGTGTGTGTATATACATATATATATATATATATATATATATATATATATATATATATATATAAACCCTAATATGCAAATAGACTGAACAGCGGAACAACCAAACCACCAGTGCTATGACGTGTGCTAACCACCAGGGGTGGCGGGATGGTGGAGCAGGTGAGTGGGGGTGGCGGGATGGTGGAGCAGGTGAGTGGGGGTGCCAGACCAAGGTGGGGCGCCAGTCGCTGTCATCGGGGCGAGCCTCTGATGGTTACTGAAAATTCTTTGCTCCTGTGCACCGCAGTCCCGCCCGGCATTCGCACCTGCTGCCGGCCCTGATCACACCTGCTGCCGGTGCCAGAACCGCCACTTGCACCCGCAGCCAGTGCCCAGTACCGGCCCCGATTGTTTGGTGCCATCAGCGAGTGCAAGTGGTGGCTGACGGCCCCGATTGCCCCTCAGGAGCAGGGGGAGGTGGAGAAGCCCTGAGGGGCGATCAGGGCTGGCAACCGCCACTCGCACCCACTGCCGGTGCTGGCCCCAATTGCTCCATGCTGTCAGCAGGTGCAAGTGGGGCCAGTGCCATCAGCATGTGAGAGCAGCAGCAGCGGGAGTAGGGCTGCCGGCAGAGAAGGGAACGGGGACTGCGGTGAGAGGGGCTGGTTGGGGGCATGGAGGTTGAGCCGAGACCTGCCCCTGTGCCCACCACAGCCTCATTGCCCACAGTTCCTTTCAAGGTGCACGAATTCGTGCACTGGGCCCCTAGTTGTAAATAATGCTGCAATGAACATAGGGATGCATATATTCTTTTGAATTAGTTTTATGGACTTTGGATATATTCCCAGAAGTGGAATCGATGGGTCATAAGGAAGTTCCATTTTCCAATTTTTGTTGTTGTTGTTAATCCTCACCCGAGGATATTTTTTCCATTGATTTTCAGAGAGTGGAAGGAAGGGAGGGAGAGAGGAGAAACATTGATGGGAGAGACACACAGCAATTGGTTGCCTCCTGTATGTGTCCTGACCTGGGCCAGGATCGAACCTGCAACCTAGGTACATGCCTTTGACCAGGAATTGAACCCGTGACCCTTCAGTGCATGGGGCAATGCTCTAGCCACTAAGCACACCAGACAGGGTGGCATGCTATTTATTTTGTCAGATCACCGTCTTAAGCTTTTGCTGGGCTTTATTGCAGCTTTAGTCTGATTCCTCTGCTTTGAGATGGCAGCTTCCTTGTACTTGGTAGAGGTCTTAGAAGCTTCGGAGAGATCTCTCACCACTCCTATTTTTGGCTCCAAGTGCTTCTAGGAGAAAGATTTTTCTCTGTAGCTGTTTAATCCATTAAACCAGAAAGGGAACAACATAAAATATGGCTTGCATAAAGTCTATTTTTCAGTAAGCATAATGGAGGAGGTATCAGCTTTTCAAGGCAGTACTTAGGTGGAGTATCTGGTGCCCAGCCCCAAGCACTGTCAGTACAAGTTGTGGTCAAATCACAGTGTCAGTGATGTTTTCACTACAGCAATACTGCGTAGGTGGGTGGACAGTGTTCCAGGCCATGTAGCTTCCAAGCCTGAGATTTTATGAGCTCCCTAATAACCTTTAAAAAAAATTCTCTTCGCCAAAGAAAAAGAAAATTCTCTTCTGTTTTTGTACTATGGTTTAGAAAATATCCAAATATGTGATAAAAATATAGAGTGCCTAGTACAGTGTCTAGCATGTAGTTAGTGATAAACAATTAGCTATTGATCTGCATTCATGATTCTAAGTATGGAATCAATCAGAGTTTCAAGTGTGAATAACGAGTTTTTTTTTTTATTATGTGGTCCTTCAGATGAATGCTTTACTCCTTCACTGCTGGCCCATCCCTGGCTTTATAGTGGAGTTTGTAACTGAGCAACATCATAATTTATTGATGTATCCTCTGCTACCCAGGAAAGGACATGAAGACTTTTGACTATTATCAGATAATATAATTTACCCGGGATGGTTTTCAGTCCTGTAACATTTATAGAGAAGCAATTAAAGCCTGGACCATTGCAATAGCCTTATACGTGCTCTCCCTGTTTTTACTTTTGCTCCCCTACAGCCTATTCTTTGTCCAGGAGCCAGAACAAACTTATACTAATCGAAAATTTTCAAGCCCCTGCTCAGAACTATCAGGTGGCTTCTTTCCACACTTAGAACTAAATTCAAATGCCCTATGATGATTTACAAGGCCTATGTGATCTAGGCCCTGGCTAACTTGTTCCCTTACCTTCTACTACTCTATTGCTTCCACACTCTGCTCTGGCCATTGTGGTCTTGCTACATTACTCCCCAAGCTCATTCCTAACCTCAGGGCCTTCACACTTAATATTTTATTCCTTTGAAATATTCTTCCCTCTCATCTTCATATTACCTTACTCCTTCAGCTCTGTACTCAAAGGTCAGCTCCTCAGAGAAGACCACCCTCTCTAAAATACCACATCTCTATCCCCTTATCCTGTTTACTATTTTTTATAGTAACTGATCACTTAAAAAGTTTATTATACATTTGTTTATTATCTGTCTTCCTCAGTATCATGTAAGTTACAAAATAGCAAAAACTTTTCTTGGTCACCACTCTACCACTTCCCTCTTTGTACTGAGGATCAATTATGGAAATATCCACAGTGAATGTTATTGCTTCAGCCAATATTATATAGGTGACACATAATAAAGAACAAAGTAGCATGTATTAAACTTTAAGAAGTTAGTGAACCTTGGCTGGTATAGTTCAGTGATTAGAGCATCAGCCCTCGCACCTGTGACAAGGGTTCCATTCCGGTCAAGGGCACATACCTGGGTTGCATGTGGGAGTCAACCAATCGATGTGTCTCTCTCACATTGATGTGTGTGTCTCCCCCCTCCCCTCTAAAAATCAATGGAAAAAAATATCCTTGGTAAGGATTAACACACAAAAAAAGTTAGTGAAGACCCTGAAAGGCAGACTTTTTTTTTTTTTTAAAATCTAAGAATATAGGAGAACCGAAGATGGCGGCATAGAAAAACACCGGAAATTGCTGCCTCCGACAACAACTTCAAAAATACAACTAAAAGGGAGAACGGTCATCATCCAGAACCACAGGAAGGCTGGCTGAGTGGAAACTCTACAACTAGAAGGAAAGAGAAGAGCACACAGACTCAGAGGAACTACGAAAGTGAAGTGCAGAGGTACAGAGGCTCCGGCGCGCGCGGAAAGGGGCGGGCACCTGAGGACGCGGCTGTCTTTTTGAATCGGGAGGGAGTCACAAGCTCCCGACTGCTCTGAACTCCGGTTCCGGGAAATCTCTGGGGTCCCAGGACTCATACGGGGAGAAACTGGACGGTCTGGCAGCAGGCAGAACTCGGAACTTGAGGACGGCTTTCCCTCAGAGGTGCTGGCAGCAATTACCAGGACACTGAGACGCGCAGCCCCTTAGGGCAGGGCTGAGAATCAGCCATAGCTGCTTGCTCCGCCCTGTTGATTCCGAGACCCCCGCCCCTTCCAGGCTGCTGCAAAGCCTTTTGCATATGAATGCCTGGGTCCTTTGCAAACTGACAATTACCTAACAAATTGCAGCTGGGCCAGACAGACCCAGAACTTCCAAGAGAAGGCCCAAGGCCCCACAGTAACTTGCATTGCTTCTCAGCTGGGCCTCATCTGGGCACCCCCAAACCCCAAAAAAAGGAAGGGGAATCTGCATATCTCTTCGTAGCTCCTGCTGGGTAACCTCAGGAAGAGGCTTAATTAGCACCTCCTTAGATCCAAGAGCCAGTGTATCCAGTGGTCAGAGTGGGACCACCCAGATTATAACTCCTCAAATTATAAGGAACACACTCAGGGGGCAGACTCAGTGAGCACCAAAGCCCCACTGAAGCAAGTCTTGCCCCAGAAGGGTGTCTTCAGCACAGAAGTTCTCCCACTGCAGACACAGCTGATTCTCACTGCCAATTGGCCTGGAGGTCAATTCCTCCCAGTGACACCTAAAACAACCAAGGCATAACTACAACAAGACTGTGCACAAAGCCCACAAGGGGGTGCACCAAGAGTGTCCACCTCAGGTAACTGGGGAGGCTGAGCCACTGGGCCCTGTAGGACACCTAGCACACAAAACCACTCTACCAACACAGGGAAGCAGACAAAATGCGAAGACAAAGAAACAGGTCACAAATGACAGAAATGGAGGAAAGCAAACGACTGGATATAGAGTTCAAAACCACGGTTCTAAGATTTTTCAAGAATTTTATGGAAACCGCCGATAAAAGTAGTGAGATCCTCGATAAATG